TTTATAACTGGATTTACGGGACGAACTCATGATATTCGCCGACTTTGATCAATTCAATTTGTAGCTAGGGACATAGAGTTTGTTTTAATACCCATTCTAATTGCATAATTTACTGACACCTAACGAGGTTCCCCACTTAACTTAATCAATATATTTTTTATAAAGTTTGTTAGCATACATAAAGGTAAATAAATATAATTTTTGTGTCAATGAACAATATTATTTATCTCATGTGTGCTATAGACATGGTAAACTAATACCTTAAAACTAAATTAAAAATAATCGTTTGTCCTCTATCATATTAATAATACACAGTATAATTCTATTTAAAAAATAAGTTGACTGATTATTCTGAAAAACTTAAATACTGATAACATTTAATACCTGTATAACTTTTATAATAAAGAATAACCTTGAAAACATAAGTGACAATGTACATAATACAAAAATAAAAAGTAAATTGTTAATACATTTATATTGATATCTATTGTTTCATTACAATTTGGAAATTATGGTACAGGGCAAATTCAACTTAAATAATTGTTCAAAACATAGTTATATAGATTATGGCACGATTATTTTATCACCTATGTCTAATGACAAAGAAAAATATAAAAATTCTATAAAGTCATGAGTTTTTCATACCACCAACCGAGTGATAATTGAAGTGGGTAGATTATGTATTTTACTATTTAAACAGATTTATACAAAACTAAATTTATTTTAACTAGAGAATTAAAGAAAATGCTAGTTCAAGTTTTATTAAGTTTTACTTTGACAGTATACCTGGCTCATTGTAGCCAAATTGACTACATAAATAGTCTGGGTACCACATGGAAGGTTAGTATTTTAAAATTAATACTATATTAAGTAACCATGTAGATTAAATTATTTTATATAATTCATAGGCTGGTAAAAACTTTGAAAAAGGGTTTGAACCGGCACTGGGTCTGGCACCCGGTTATAAGCCACTAACACCAAGCTCAGACATTACTTATAATATTGCCGATGAGGAAATACCAGAAAACTTTGATCCCCGGGTGCAATGGCCCGACTGTTACACCGTTAAGGAAATTAGAAATCAAGGGTGTTGTGGTATGTAATAAATTAATTATTTTTATATTTTATTTAATTATACACACAAAAATAACTATTTACTTTAAAAAGTTGACATTGTTACTTTAAAAACTAAATAATCATTATACAGTATTTTTAATTTTACTAATACGATACTTATCATATTTAATGCAAATAATTTAAATTAAGTTTTATAATTAATAAAATTAAATATAAAAATTTATTTTCATATTATAAAGTAACAATAGTCAATTTAAATTTTATATAATTGACCAGGATCGTGTTGGGCATTTTCTACATCCGAAGTCATATCCGACCGCATATGCATCGCATCCAAAAACAAACAACAGGTAGAGGTCTCTGCCGAAGATGTCCTAACATGCAGTGGGGCCGGTGGTTGCGGAGGTGGTTGGCCTAGTAGTGTGTTCAACTACTACATCAAATCAGGTGTTATTAGCGGTGGTCTAGTGAACAGTCATAAGGGTTGTCAGCCCTACACCATAATCGGTGACCATCCGTGCGCTTCGTACGTACCGACCCCTAAGTGTCAAAAGTCGTGTATCGCGGGCTATAACCGTACGTACACTCAGGACAAACATTTTGGTAGTAAATCCTATGGCGTCAGTGCTAAAGATGTTCAGAAGGAGCTCATGACAAATGGACCTGTGTCAGCTACATTTAGTGTAAGTAACATTTATAGATACCTAAATTATATTTTATAAAGTAACACTGGTAGTTTAAATATTAAATGTATCATAATTAGTTTATACAGGTAAATATATTTATAATAGCAGAATAGTACAGAATAATTATTAAGTTTGAACTGACTAATAAATTAACATGTAAGATTTAAATTATTATATTTTTATTATTAATATATTAACTAGGTATACAACGACTTTTTCTCATACAAAACCGGTGTCTACCACCACGTGACCGGTGAGATGAAGGGAGGTCA